GATACTAGACCCATATCTGCTAAGCTGAATATTCTTTGTAAACTCCGTCAGGTTTTTTTTTTTTTTTTATGACAGTATATGAACCTTGGGCCTCATCAGATTTGATTCCATTGAAATATATTTCTTAGGAGAAGAAAATGCATCTTGTATAAGTCTGTAGTCAGCTATAATGGTTAATGTGCAACCTCCCTTGAAAATCTGTTTTACAAGCAAAATGTTGACACAATTTTAATTATAGCACTCGAGTGAGCACTGTTGTAATTTTTAATATTCCTCCATGGTGACATTTTCATTGTTCTTGTAGAGGAAAATGCTCTGATTCTGCGTCCCTAGTTTCTGATGCTTTTGGATTTTATGGGATTGTTGTCTTTTTGAACTGAAATTTTTCATTTGGTCTCAAAGAAGAGAATGTGACTATAATATTTGTTGCATTTACTTATTAATATAAGCTTTCCTCTCTATAGCTGTTATTATTCTTGTTTAATATTTCATTATTTGGACCTTACATCACTCACATTAAAGAGGTGAACTTCCTTGTAGTATAGCATGGGAAAACCTTAACACTTGTTTCCTTGCATTAGAGAAACCTTTCATATTTTTAATCTAAAGAAACTGTATGGAGTATTAAAAGGGAACATGCCAAATTTCTATGTTTATTAGAATTCAAGACCTTATAAAATGACATAAAATAGTGTACTTTCATCTAATGTATAACAATCACTGAACTTCTCTTTGAGGACATGGATTAGAAGATGGAGAGCATACTTGATACTCTGTTTAACAGGGAAACATTCCATCTGTGCATTGTCATTTAATCTATTAAAACATGCTTCCCTGGCTTCCCATTCCTTGTTGCCCAAGCTCTCTTTAACATGAAGTTCAGGAATGTCAGTTAGTTGTTCATTTGCTCTTGTGTCTTTCCTTTGTCCCTTTCTGAATTTGCAGAAGTGTGGAATTTAGGCTGCCTTTGGGACACTGAGGGGAGACTGGTGTTCTGGCTTATCTCAGTGAGATGACACGACTGGTGAGGACATAGACACGAGTGCCTTCACAGTGTGGGCTCCTGCAGAAAGGAGGGTTCAGTCTGCACCTTCAGCAAAGCTGTCTGCAACCTGATTTTAAATAGAAGAATAAGTATAGTTGCCCCTGGCTCTATTTTCTTCTCCATTAAACGCTAGGGTTTAGGGTGATGGGTATATCAGTATGCCAGAATAAAAAGTTAGAATAGGATTTCAGCCTCCCCTGAGTTATGCTTTCTCAGTATGGTGTCATGTCAGCCACCCATTTCTAGAATAATCTTTCTCAAGCCTAAGCACCAAAATATGCTACAAAGCTAACCTTGGTCTTTGGATTCCGTGATGCCCCAATGATGAATCAGCCTTCTTCTTCCCGTAATCTCTAAACTGCTTAAAATGGGCTCTCGGACTCCCTGCATCACCTTGCCCTTAATTCAGCATGGCAGTGAGTAGTGCTCTGCTGAAGTTCACAGTGTAGAAGTGATTTTGGAGTGGCCAATCATTGTTTTGAATTTGCTTTGCCATTTTTTTTCATTATTTGGATAAACAATAGTTATCCATGGTTTTAGTGATTTTTCTCCTTTACATTTTTATGAAAGTGAAAACAGAGTACAGTAACACTTTTACATTTATTTATTGTTGCAAAAAGCAAAAGTGCCGAGTGTATATAAGACTGATTTCATGTTATCAGAATCAGCTATTGATTTGTAGACCTTATAGAACCAGGGTCTTAAAACATGCTATCTTACCATAATGTTAAGCTAATTATTGTCCTATATCTTGAGTAAAAAACATTTTACTTAGACTTCATTAGTTTTATACCTTCTTAAAATGAAAACAACAGACTGAATTTACTCTAATAAGGCAGCAACGTACCCTAGTGAATGGAACCGTTAATGCAGCATCCTGAAGTAACTAAATTCAGACAGCATGGTAGGAGAACCCTGCTATGAGAATGGAAATCAGTCTAAAACCTTCCTGCTCAAGGTGTGCTCCATGGACCAGCAGCGTATTTATCACCTAGGAACTTGTTAGAAATTCAGACTCCCAATCTTCCTTCCCCTACATACTGAATCAGAATCTGCATTTTGATCAGAAACTCCAGATAATTCATGAACCTGTTAGGTTTTAAGTTGGTGGTAGGATAGTTCATTGTAAATTACATTCACCTTTGATCTGGAGAAAGAGAAACCCAACATGTATGGATGACTTGTGCAGTCTGAAAATATTATAAATGATAAAGGTGTGAAATCTGTGAGAAGTTAGAAATGTTGGAAAGAAATAAGGTTAAAATTATCCCAGAAAATACAAACTAATGCATATGCACAAAATATTCTGTAATACATTGTATTTGGGGAAATCGAATGTGGAAAGCATCATGACACATGTGACGTGAGGTGATAGTAGACAGAAAGCCAGAAATTAATCAGTAACAGGTAACAGTGGTCACTGTTCCACTGCCAGTTTGATTCATTAGAGATTTCCTTAAAAGCAGAGCATAGTTGAGGCTTATATGCCTCTCATGCAGTTAGTGACACTGTTTCCTAGAAAGATAAAGATAAACTATAGAGTGTTCAGAGAAGGGTAGAAGATTGATTATGGCAAAGGAAGAACTGATTTATGAGGAGAGGGAAAATAATTAAATGGGCAGTACTATGCTATAAAAAGAGGCTATGGACACATGGATATTTATCTAATGTTTCTCCAGTGCTATCTACTGTAGTATCTGTACAAAACATGCAGAACTATAAGGACATTAGGATGCTAAGAAACTGGTTACAGAGCAAAGCAATATCAGCTGGAATTACTTGATTAAATTAGAGCAATATCAAAGATTAAGTTTCAAAAAATTTTACCTGATACAAAGAAATAACCTTGAGCACAGTGACTTTATCCCTCAGAACTTTTGAGAGCTGTGTGGGCAAAGAATGGAAAATCATTTAAGTTGTTGAATTGTCTCCCCCAGGAAATAATTGGAACCCCATCCCTTGAATCTTCTAAAATTAGAATGGAGAAAGTCTAGGATGCTGCATGTGGGAACTCTCTCTGCTTCTGGCAGACAATCGGTGATTGATGACTGGTATTTTTCTTTTGCAATGTCTTTGATTATTGCTGATGTTACCATATGCAGATATATATTTTTTCATCAGGTTGGTGCCTTATATAAATAAAAAATGCTGCCTTCTGGAAAAACATCTAGAGTGTCACGGGTCTGCCTCCTTGGTACCCAGTGATATTCTTTTTTCATTTCTCTTCACTTTGTAATTCATTAAAAGATGCAGTTCACTGCATATCAGAAGTAAATTCACTTCTTTCATTCACTTCATTCAGGAAGCTAAGACAAGCCCCCAAAGCACCTGCAACCAAATGGATGCAGAAACTCTGAAAGTCTGAAATCATCTAGTTTCTCAGAGAGTTTAGTGACTCTTTTTACCAGGATGAAAACCCAGCTTGTGTTTGCCAAGGAGCAGAGGTCTAAGAGTATCATATTTCCTTCTCCCTCCCCTGAGGACCTTTATCCCCCCAGTGATATGCATGATCTAAACAGGGAAGTCCAGAACCCCGATTCCATGGGTCAGAAAGCAAGTAAAACACAGTAAAATTATTTAATATTCTAATTCATTGTTTTACTTTTTCTTGCTAATTCCTTCAGATCCACATCTGTATTGTCCAGGAGATCTAGCTTAATGTAAATGCTGCTGAGAATAATTCATATCAAATATATTGATTGGAAATATTAGGTATACTTCTTTATGTTGGTATATGGGAAGGTTTGTCAAACTTAAATATTAAGTCACATTAATTAAATTGCTTCATATGCTCTATAAATGAATTGTTTTTTTGTGGATGGTATTTTTTAAAAATATTGTTTAATTTTGTTATTTGTGATTTAATGTACCTGCTTTAGTTTTAAGAAATTCTCTTTGCTTGGAGCCAAAAGTTCTTACTCCTTTCCTTCTTGAAAGAGTCTGCAAGAGGAAATAGAAAGGTTAGAGTTACATTCTGCTCTTGTGTCCATAATACAAAGGTAATCTCCTCTATATCCTGTTTTTGTGAAAATAGCTCTAACAAATTTCCAGCCTCTTCCATGTGCAGATAACAACTTACATGTGCAGAAACACACCTCCAGTTTCTCAAGGTGAAAACTGATTGAGATAAAAAATTAAAATTGATAGGTTGCTATCTTTCTTTTCTTCTCTTGCTTCCTGACTGCTATATCTCCCAAAGGGGAGGGGGTTAAACGTCTTTTTTCTTTCTAAATCATTCTACTAGTGTCATATTGATTTTCTCTCAAGTACACCCTGTGGTCTCAGATGATCACATATTTTCTTATGTTACTCATATTGATACAGCACTTTGACTCACAGGTTGACATATATTACTTGAGCTGTGATGACAGTGCTCACTGTTGACATTTCCTGGTGGTGGGGTGTACCAAGCCTCTAAGGCATGAAACAGAAGGGAACAGGCTGTTTTACAACACAGTTTTTATTTTTTGTAAAGCAATTGCCATTCACTCCTAATGATATGCTAAGCCCTCCTCAGTGTTGCTTAACATAGTTTCTAAACCCTAAAACAATGTCTTGAGTTCTTTTGTGTCTCTCATAATACAGAAAAAAAAAAGTTTCTCATCTGGGTATCAAAATATTCCAGTGTTACACTGTAAGAAAAATTGTATTGGGCCAGCCCTGTGGCACACTCGGGAGAGTGTGGCGCTGGGAGCGCAGTGACGCTCCTGCCGCGGGTTCAGATCCTATATAGGAATGGCCAGTGCACTCACTGGCTGAGCGCGGTGCAGGCGACACCACACCAAGGGTTGCGATTCCCTTACCAGTCACGAAAAAGACAAAAAGAAAGAAAAATTGTATTAAAATGGTATTAAATGTCTGAAAGAATGCATGGTGATCCGCCTGTTTGCCACTGCTCTTGCTCTTTCTCTCCTACCTTTGTATTGTCCTCTCATGTCACTTCCCTCTGTTTCAGCTAGCCTTGAGGTGGTTGGAACACAGCTGCCATTACCAGTACATGGATGAGCTCCTGCAGTACATCCGCTTTGGCCTTATGGATGTGGATACTCTCCATACAGTTGCCCTGTCGCACCCCCTCGTCCAAGCAAGTGAGACCGCAACAGCCCTTGTCAACGAGGCCCTGGAATACCATCAGAGCATCTATGCACAGCCCGTCTGGCAGACTCGCAGGACCAAACCGCGGTTTCAGTCCGACACTCTGTATATCATTGGTGGGAAAAAGCGTGAGGTCTGTAAAGTCAAGGAACTTCGGTACTTCAATCCTGTTGATCAGGAGAATGCTCTCATAGCTGCCATTGCCAACTGGAGTGAGCTGGCTCCCATGCCCGTGGGCAGGAGCCACCACTGTGTGGCAGTCATGGGCGACTTCCTGTTTGTAGCAGGAGGGGAAGTTGAGCATGCCAGTGGCCGTTCCTGTGCCGTGAGGACTGCTTGTCGCTATGATCCCCGCAGTAATTCCTGGGCAGAGATAGCATCCATGAAAAACTGCCGGGAGCACTTCGTGCTGGCAGCCGTGGATGAATGCCTCTATGCAGTTGGGGGCAGAAATGAACTGCGCCAGGTTCTGCCTACAGTGGAGCGATATTGCCCCAAGAAGAACAAATGGACTTTTGTGCAGTCCTTTGACCGATCCCTTTCATGTCATGCTGGATATGTGGCTGATGGTCTTCTTTGGATATCAGGTAGAACATGCCTCATATGTTGGATTTATCAAAAACACTTTCCTTGAGGTATACATTTAAAAGTCAAGCTTTGTTAGTGTGGTCATGTGTAATTGAACAATTGAGCAAAGGATGCCATTTTAGCTAATTAACATTCATTTATTGAGCACCTACTCTATAGAGAACAATGTAATTGGAAGTAATTGACCTTTCTGTGACTTTCTGGGTGATTACAGGAGTAAAAATTCAAGATGAAAATTAATGGTCCATCACACCTGTTTTTCTACCAAACCTTCTGTTGTTCACATTGTCAGCTCTTGATTATTCATGGATTATATTGCACAGCTTGTGGTTTATCTAGGTTGCTTTGCTTTTTCTTCCACTCTTGGCTGCCCGACTAGGAGCCATTTCATCAGACAAGGCAGGAGAAGTCAAGCCCAGTAAATCCATTTTGCTGGGTATAGCAATGGATATATATCCAGGTAATAGTTATGCTGTGCATTGAGGGAAGGGATTTAAGTTACTAAAATAAGGTTTTTGTATTATATGTGATAGTACTTACTCATGCTATCCTAAACCTTCATTTCTATTTACTCTCCTGTTCTTACTGATTACTGGTGGGTACACAGTTTGAGCTTTATTTTAGTTTACCTTTTTTTTTTTCTTTCCAAAAAACGTTTTGATTATGGAGAAAGTAGAGAGAATAGTATAATGAACCCCATGTACTGAGAACCCCACTTCGGCAGTTATCCACTCATTGCCACTCTTATTTCATCCACACCCACATATGCCTTCCAGCCCCTCATAGCTGCCTTTTTGCTTGTACAGAAGGAGTCTGTGTGGCATATGTTATCTGCATCACACTATCAACCTATGTTTTCAATCCTATTATTGAGAAAGACCTCAAGTGTTCTCCTTTGAAAGGTGTGCCTCTAACAGGAGGAAGTCGCATCTTCTCCCAGTTGGAGGATACCCGTTTTGTAACCCAAATGGAACTTGTTGGATTCTTGTGTCATCAAAGACAAAGAGGAATAGAAAGATCAAATAACTTAAATATTAAGAGTAACTTTGATGTTTGTACTTAGAATAATCACTTTTAAGTACACCGGCAAAGGCTTTTCAGCTTTTGTCAATAATCATCTCTAGTTTTTTACTACCTACTTGGACAAAATTCTCCCTTGCATTTAAACTAAATTTGTTTGGATTCTGCCTATTTTTCCTTCTGCTGTTCTTCAATAACAAGGGAAATAGTCACAGTCTCAGTTTCTGTGGATGATGCCTCAATTATTGGAAATTCACTGATTTTTCACTGACAAAACCTAGCTCGTGTCAGGGTTTAAGTGCTCAATAAATTAACGAATAAAATTAAGACTAGGACTAAGGAGGAGGATAAATGAAGTGGACCCAATAGTTACTGGTCATACATACCAAATAAACATTAGAAATGTGTGTGTGTGTTAGTATATGTAGATATATTTAAATAAAAACCTCATTTATCTAATTTATCTAGTGACTTATTCCTTTTTCTTTAAATGTATACTTCAGCAGTTAAGAAAATAACTACCAGGGCTCTGCCCTGTTAGCTTTGCTGAAGAACTTCAAACTAGGCTGCAAATAAGTCTTTGCTAAAAGAAGAAACAGATCTGTCTGTACTTGAACAACGAAAAGATGGGATTACAAAATCAATGCAATTTATGTTTTCTCTCAATATACATTACTTCCATTGACTCATTTAGTTAATGTACTGTATTCCTAAATTTTGCATTGCATTTTCCAAATTTCATATGAATTTCCCATAAATATTCTAATAAATATTCCTTCTTTTTTGGTTATAAAACCTAGCTTAAAAAAAAAATGCTGTAGTTTCCATTACATAGTCTTAAGGATATGATCTGCTTAATACCTTCTTCAGTGGGGCTTAAGAAAGCACAGAAGTTCATCTTAGTTCCATCATCCTGGTGTCAAGCTCACTTCCCTTTCAATGTGGGTCTACGTTTCCATTTCCATTTTATTAAATCTATCAACTTATTACAGATCTTATTGCTATCTCACTTTGTTTTTCTCCTACTGTGAAAGGAAATGCTTTTTCTTTGTTCTTTTTTTGCACTAATGTATGCTGCTTGTGTTAACCATATTTAATGAAAACAATCACAATTTTCTCAGGTTTGTTTCTCCCTACTGTGTACTCAAGATGAGAAATTCACTTTCCTGTGTACAGTACAATACCTTTAATTGGAAAGAAGAGGAAATCGCCAGTGACATTTCTAATACCTTCAGTCGTCTGCCTCTTTCCTCGGGCCCAGCTTATAATAAATCAATTGTGAATCTAACCACGAATAGGGAGGGGTGACTAGATTTGCTAATGGGCCCCTTAAAAAAAAAGACAGGTGTATTTCACCCTGCCTATGATTGATTTAGAAGTGTTAACCTGATTTATTGGAACAGATGAAAATGTTGGAAGCTATTCTTTATCCTTTACCAAATAATCAAGTATTTCCAATTTAATTGATGAGAGATTGAGTCATCTCCATCCTTCTGATATTTTGCAAGCTTTGCCAGAGGTGGAGGTGGTATGGATTATAGAATGTGGATTTTAGGGGCTTAGTTCTGTTCCAGAGAACACAAAATGAATAGAGACTCTTCTTTAGAGACTCAACATTTCGAGAGTGCTCTCTCCCTCCCCCTTTTTCTGGTCATTTTGGGGTCAGGACATCTTGAAACCTGTCCATAGTTTTAAAGATGTGACAAGCAAAGAGGAATTCAGAAAATTGGGCTGCATGGATATCCCCATTTGCATTTAATTTAAGATGTTAGAGATAGTCAAATTTTACAGGCTCCTGTAGCATTTCACATTGTGACCCAATTCACAAATGTCCCTTTCCATTTCAATTTGAAATTCATAGTATTGAAGTAAAACAAGCATTAAATATCCTTTGCAGCTGTGTTTTAAAATATATGCTCTGTTGTAAGGTGTAGTTTGTGAACTACTAAAAAGATCCTTGGTTTCGTTTGTTTGTTTGTTTGTTTGTGAGGGAAAATTAATCCTGAGCTTATCTTTCAAAACAACTTATCTTTTCATTTTTATCAAATGGCAGCAAGATGAGAAACTAACCACAAAATTAGTACTTTAAAACTATAAAAATAAGAAAAATGTTATTGCATTTAGTCAAAAGCAATATTTAGTGCTTGCTTGATTCTCTTGTTGAATACTACATCCTTATAAAGTGTAGTGCTGGGACATAGATAAATAAGATTAATTCAGCAAACACAATTCCTGCCCTCTAGGAGCTGACAATCAAAGGGTATTTCAGATATTTCATTAATGAAAGAACATTTGTTAAAGCTTCTTCAACTCCCTAGAAGCTATGTGTATTTTCGTCTTGATTAAATTTATATAAAGTTTGCATTGCCCCATTTTAAGTAATTTCAATTTATTCAAACCTAATAAAGGGACTTTGGTTTTTCTAATCATTAAAATTAGAACAATGTAAAATTTCATTAACATTTTAAAAATACCATTGCTTTACTTTACTATATCTGTGCAGATATCATTTTACTTGCATCTAAACAATTATATACAAAATATTGGGAGCTAACATCAGGCGTAGCAGAGACCAGGTTGTAGTGGGCTGAGATCATAGACCCTGGTCACACATACACACGTGAGACTTCCTCCACTTCTTACCAATCATGAGATCTGAGCAAAGTTTTTAACCTCTCTAAATCCTGTTCTGGAATAGTGCTGGAGCAACAAAGTAGAGTATAATAGAGGGAACGAACTTTTAAACAGATAATTATAATATAGAAGGTGATGGGCAATGATAGAAGTCTTTCCAGAGTACAGAAGTAGTGCAAAGCAGGGAGTAATTATTGCAGGTGGTATGAAAGGTAGCACCTCCAGCCTAACTGGGCCATTGGCCATTTTCTACTTATCCATTGACTCCTCCCTGTCCTCACGTTTGAACTTTATGGTCGAATCATTTCAATAATTCTTTTGCTCTCTAGCAAAACATGCAGTGTTGGACAAGTGCAGCAAACCACTTTGTCTTTGCCTGTACCTGGGCAGCTGAGCCTGTGGGCTTGGGGTGGGTATATACCCAGCTCACCAAGCACAGTGGCACTCTCAGCCTCTCCATACCCTATTCCCACTCTCTCACCCCTCTCCTCCACTGGCTCTAACTTCCTCACTTTCTTCATGATCCCCTCCCCTCAGACTCAGAGAGAGGACCTTGTCTTCTGTTTCTCAGAGCAAATGTAAATGAGATAATATGAAGAGGAGGAAGAAAGTGGGAGGAGACAGATGGGCAAGAGATTGTCTGGAAAAAGGCCAAGGGCAAAAGGTTGGGAAACACTAGTAAGGAGGGTACAGTGTGTGTGTGTGGGGGGGGGGCAGGACTAAGGAAGGAGGCTGAGAGTGCAGGATGAGCAAGGTCAGAGAAGGAGGAGGAGGAGGTCAAAGGAGAGGAGGAGGAGGAGGGGTAAAACCAAAACCCAAACAGAAAGGTGCGGTGAGTGAGAGCTGTCCAATACTACAGGGACATCAAGGTCCAAACTATTGCCACTGCATTTTTCAATGCAGTGGAAGAAGGTGAAAACTAGAATACTGTAGTTTAAGGTTTGATTGGAAAGTGAAGTAGAGGGCCGGCCCGGTGGGAGTGTGGCGGCACTCCCGCCGAAGGTTCGGATCCCACATACAGACCGGTTCCCGCTCACTGGCTGAGCGAGGTGTGGGAGCAACACCGAGGGTTGCGATCCTGTTGCCGGTCCCGGTTCGGTACGGGCGCGACACTGAGGGTTGCGATCCGTTGCCGGACACGAAAAAAGACAAAAAGGAAAAAAAAAAAAGAAAGTAAAGTAGAAACCACAGGTGTAGAATACATTGGGATAAAGGCCCTCTTTGCCTGTTACCCATGAACAGGGTCTCATCTTAGCTTCATTCCCTCAATCTGAGCTTATCAGACAATTTTCCAATTATCATGTGGCTTCCTGTATACTCCTATGTACAGGAAGAGAATGTGCCGTTTCTAGGTACACACATATTTCAGTCCATAAGACAGCCACATTCTTTCATTATAAATTAATAAACAATATTTTGGCTTTAAGAAGAAAAAAGGAGATTAGGAAGGAAAGAAAAGAGGGAAGAAAGGGGGAAGTTTGGCTGAGAACACAAGAGAATAGCTAGAAGAGGAAATCCAAGGCCAAAGGAGTATTTTAAAATTTTTTTAAGGATGAAAATGTATTAATCAAATTTGTTGAAAAGGGAAAGAAGTGAGTGAAATTGAAGATTTGGGGAAGAGGGGCATCCATTTGGTTGGTAAATGCTGAGAGCATCTTCTAGGTACCAGGAATGGTGACAAGTCCTGGGGATACAATATCCACAAGAGACATAGAGTCCTTAACAGGCAGGAAGGAGTTGGAGAGGGGGTTGGGTCTTGCACATGGGAAGAAAGAGACCATCAAAGTCTAAGCCTGGAGGAAAGGAGATGATGAGTGTGGCAGTAGGTAAGCTCACAGTGAGGGGCAGGAACCTGAGGAGGTTCCTTGTTGATGGATTTAAGTAAGAGACGGGAGTGCTCTGTTGAGATTGAGCCATGTCAGAACTAGGTAGAGAGCCTGAGAAGAGTGCTTAGAAAAAGCCTCTGAGAGAAAACAGAGAGGGGACTGACAGGTTAATAAATAATTAAGTGTTCAGAGCCCATATTTAAGATTGGAAACCAAAAAATTGTGATGGCCCCATTTGCAAATTTCTGCCTATTTTTTGGTGGTGTTCCGCAGAGAACTGGAGAAGGCAGATCCTTGGTTCACTTGTGATGGAAAGTTTCTAGGCTGAGAATAGCCTGGAGGATCCTACTGGAAGGAGTTCAGCAAGCTGGGATCCCAGTTAGGTGAGAGTCCAGGATGGAAGGTTTGCTTGAAGGGGAGCCATGAGTGTTGTGGGAGTAAGTATGTAACATAATGCCCATTTGTTTCCCCTGAGGCA